AACCCCAAAATTTGAGTTTTTTAGCAAAATTTAAGGGAATTTCACCCCAAAATTTGAATTAAATTCTCACTTTTTTCCCCAAATTCGACACAGAAGTCCCACATTTTCCCCCCACATTTCGACCCAAATTTCCTCTTCCTGCTTCTGAACGAACTGAATATGCAAATGTATGCTAATTAGATGCTAATTAGGTACCTCAGGACACGCCCACGCCTGCCCCTCATTGGTCCTCGGAGCTCATCCCAAATTTCGGCTTTTTACCCCAAAATTTCAAATTTTTTTTACCAAAATTTCAAATAAATCGGCCTCAAATTTGACCCAAAATCTCCTTTTTTCCCCCCAAATTTGACCCAAAATTCTCTTTTTCCCCCACATTTCCACAGTTTTATCCCAAATCCCAATGTTCTCCAGAAATTTTACTCTAATTTTTCAAAAAATTTTTGGGCATGCAAATTTATGCAAATGAGGTGCTAATCGCACTCCAATTGGGCCTGTATTTTTCTCCCCAAAATTTGAAATTTTTGGAATGAAATTTAATGCAATTTTTGCCCCAAATTCACTCAAAATTTGATTTTTTTTCTCAAAAAATTCCACTGAATTTGAACCAAATTTCCTCTTTTTCTCCCTAAATTTCTAAATTCCCCCCCCACCGAATTTCCACACTTTTCCCCCAAATTCCCTCGATTTGATCCAAATTCCCAGATTTTGACCCAAATTTCCTCTTCCTGCTTCTGCACGAACTATGTATGCAAATTTATGCTAATTAGATGCTAATTAGGTACCTCAGGACACACCCACATTGGCCGCCCATTGGCCATCGGAGCTCATCCCGAAATTCCCACTTTTTACTCCCCAAAATTTGAATTTTCTAGTAAAAATGTAAGGGAATTCTACCCCGAAAATTGAATTTTTTAGCAAAATTTAAAGCAATTTCACCCCAAAATTTGAATTTTTTAGTAAAACTTAGGAGAATTTCACCCCAAAATTTGAAGATTTTTAGCAAAATTTGACAGAATTTCACCCCAAAATTTGAATTTTTTAGCAAAATTTAAAGCTATTTCATCCCAAAATTTGAATTTTTTAGTAAAATTTAAGGGAATTTCACCCCAAAAATTTCAATTAAGTTCTAAATTTTTTACCAAATTTGACCCAAAATTCCACATTTTCCCCCCAAAATTTCGACTCAAATTTCCTCTTCCTGCTTCTGCACGAACTGTGTATGAAGATTTATGCTAATTAGATGCTAATTTATCAACTTAGGACACGCCCACGCCTGCCCTTCATTGGTCCTCAGAGCTCACCCCAAATTTCGGCTTTTTACCCAAAAAAATTTGAATTTTCTAGTAAAATTTAAGGGAATTTCATCCCAAAATTTGAATTAAATTCTCACTTTTTTCCCCAAATTTGATCCAAAATTCCACATTTTTCCCCCAAAATTTTTTAGTAAAATTTGACAGAATTTCACCCCCAAATGTGAATTTTTTAGTAAAATTTAAGGGAATTTTCCCCTAAAATTTGAATTTTTTAGTAAAATTTAAAGCAATTTCACCCCAAAATTTGAATTCTTGCTTTTTTCCCAATTTCGACCCAAAATTCCCTCATTTTTTCCCCCAAACTGCACCATTTTTTCCCCAAAATTTCACCTTTTTTTGGCCCAAACTTTATCATTTTCCCCCAAAAATTTCACCCTTTTTTGGCCCAAATCTCATCATTTTTTCCCCAAAACTCCCTCATTTTTCCCCCTAAACTGCACCATTTTTTCCCCAAAATTTCACCTTTTTTTGGCCCAAATTTTATCATTTTTTCACCCAAAAATCCCATCATTTTTTGACCCAAATTCCATCATTTTTTTTGCCCCAAATTCCCTCATTTTTTCCCCCAATTTGCCCCATTTTTTCCCTCAAATCTCACCTTTTTTTGGCCCAAATTTTATCATTTTTTCACCCAAAAATCCCATCATTTTTTCCCCCAAAATGCCTACTTTTCCCCTCAAATTTCCCCTTTTTTTGGCCCAAATTTTATCTTTTTTTCACCCAAAAATCCCACCATTTTTTGACCCAAATTCCATCATTTTTTTTGCCCCAAATCTCATTTTTCCCCCAAATCCCGCCCTTTTCCACCCCAAATTTCCCCCTTTCCCCCCCAAACCTCTCCCCCTTTAACCCCACCCCCTTCCCTTCCCCCCAGCCAATCCCTTTGCCGTATGCAAATGTATGCAAATGAGGCCCCGCCCACCTGGGTGTCGGTGAGGGGCAGCCAATAAATGCACGGGGCCGCCTTGGTTTTCCGGAAAAGATCGTCCAGGAGCTTCGCTGGCGGCTCCTCCGGGGCTTTGTCTGCCCAAAAACACCCAAAATCCTCTTAAATTCACCCAAAATGGACTTCATTTGATGAAAATCCACACAAAATTCGCCCAAATCCACTCAAAATCCACCCAAATCCACTCAAAATCCATGAAAATCCACCCAAAATCCTCATAAATCCACTCAAAATTCACCCAAAATGGATTTCATTTGATGAAAATCCACCCAAATCCACCCGAAATTCACCCAAAATTCACATAAATCCACTCAAAATTCACCCAAAATGGATTTCATTTGACCCAAATCCACCCGAAATTCACCCAAAATCCACATAAATCCACTCAAAATTCACCCAAATCCACCCAAAATCCACTAAAAATCCACCCAAAACCTACATAAATCTGCTCAAAATTCACCCAAATTCACCCAAATCCACCCAAAATCCACTCAAAATTCACCCAAATCCACCCAAAATCCACCCAAAATTCACCCAAAACTCACATAAATCCACTCAAAATTTACCCAAATCCACCCAAAATTCACCCAAGTCCACCCAAAATCCACTCAAAATTCACCCAAATCCACCCCCTCTCCCCCCAAATTTCCATCCCAAATTTTGACGCCAAATCCCTCTCATTTTCCCCCAAATTTTCACCCAAAACCCCCCCATTTTTCCCCAGATTTCCCAAATCCCCCATTTTTCCCTCCAAACCCCCATTTTTCCCCAGATTTCCCCTCCCAAATCCCATTTTCCCCCCAAATTCCCCCCAAATTTCCCTCCCAAATCCCGTTTTCCCCCAAATATTCCCCCAATTTCTCCCCAATTTTCCCCAAATTTCCCCAAATTTCCCTCCCAAATCCCCTCATTTTCCCCCAAATTTTCCCCCATTTTGCTCCAAATTTCCCTCCCAAATCCCCCCAAATTTCCTCCAAATCCCCCATTTTCCCCAAATATTCCCCAACTTCCCCCATATTTTCCTCATTTTTACCCAAATTTCCCCCAATTTTCCTCCCAAATCCCCTCAATTTTTCCCCAAATTTCCCTCCCAAATCCCCCCAATTTTCCCTCCCAAATCCACCCAATTTTCCCCATTTTCCTCCAAATTTCCTCCTAAATCCTCCTCAATTTTTCCCCAATTTTCCTCACAAATTTCCCTCCCAAATCCCCCAATTTTACCCAAATTTCTCCCCAAATTCCGTTTTCCCCACATTTTCCCCCCAATTTTCCCCAAATTTCCTCCCAAATCCCCCAAATTTCCCAATTTTCCCTCCCAAATCCACCCCATTTTCCCCGTTTTCCTCCAAATTTCCCCCAAATCCCCATTTTCCCCAAATATTCCCCAATCTTCCCCATATTTTCCCCCATTTTTACCCAAATTTTCCCCTGTATTTTCCCCCATTTTACCCCCAATTTCCCTCCCAAATCCCCATTTTTCCCCAAATATTCCCCCATTTTCCCTCAATTTCCCCCATATTTTTCCCCATTTTACCCCCATTTTACCCAAATTTCTCCCCCAAATCCCCCAATTTTCCCTCCCAAATCCCCCAATTTTCCCCTCATTTTCCTCCAAATTTCCCCCAAATCCCCCAATTTTCCCCAACTTTCCCTCCCAATTCCCCCAAATTTCCCTCCCAAATCCCATTTTCCCCAAATATTCCCCAATCTCCCCCATATTTTCCCCCATTTTTACCCAAATTTTCCCCATATTTTCCCCCATTTTCCCCCAAAATTTCCTCCCAATTCCCCAAATTTCCCCCAAATCCCCCAAATCCCCCAAACCCCCAAATCCCCTCCCCTCCCTCTCACCTCTCTTCTCGGGCCTCGCCTCCCTCAGGCCCCGCCCCTTCTCTTTGTCCCCTCCCCTGCGGCCTGGCCCGCTGCGCCTCCCATCGCGGGGGCGTGTCCTGCCGTGGCCCCTCCCCGCGGGTGGGCGTGTCCCGGGGGAGGGGGCGGGCTCTGCCCCGATCCCATTCCCGCTCGGCCCGCGCCCGTTCCCGCGGGATCGCTCCCGCTCCGCTCCGCCCACTGCCAGGGGGCGTGGCCAGAGGGGGACACGCCCCGGGAGGAGGAGGCCGCCCAGGGGCGGGGGCGTGGGAGGGGGTGGGGAGGGGCGGGGGTCGGGTCCTTCCCCTGCTCCGGGGGGGAGGAGACCCCGGTGGAAGTCGAGCTGTGGGGGGAGGGGAAAACAAAAAGAGGGGAAAAATCAGCAAAATGGACACAAAAAACATCACAAATGAGCCCAAAAATGACCCCAAAAAGACCCCAAATGAGCCCAAAAATGACCCCAGAAATGCACAGGAATTACCCAAAAAATGACCCCAAAATGACCCCAAATGAGCCCAAAAGTAACCCCAAAAATGAACAAGAATTACCCAAAAAATAGCTCCAAACAAGTCATAAATGACCCCAAAAATGCACAGGAATTACCCAAAAAATGACCCCAAAATGACCCCAAATGAGCCCAAAAGTAACCCCAAAAATGAACAAGAATTACCCAAAAAATAGCTCCAAACAAGTCATAAATGACCCCAAAAATGCACAGGAATTACCCAAAAAATGACCCCAAATGAGCCCAAAAATGACCCCAAAAAGGCACAGAAATTACCCAAAAAATGAACCCAAAAACCACCACAAATGAGCTCAAAAATGAGCCCAAAAATGCACAGAAATTACACAAAAAATGACCCCAAAATGACCCCAAATGAGCCCAAAAATGAGCCCAAACATGCACAGGAATTACCCAAAAAACGACACCAAATGAGCCCAAAAATGACCCCAGAAATGCACAGGAATTACATAAAGAATGACCCAAAAACACCACAAATAAGCCCAAAAATGACCCCAGAAATGCACAGGAATTACATAAAAAATGGTCCCAAAATGACCCTAAAAAAAACCCATAAATGACTCCCAAAATGCACAGAAATTACCCAAAAAATGACCCCAAAAAATGACCCCAAAAATATACAGAAATTACATTAAAAATGGCCCCAAAATGATCCCAAATGAGCCCAAAAATGGACAAGAATTACATAAAAAATGGTCCCAAAATGATCCCAAAATGACCCCAAAAATGATCCCAGAAATGCACAGGATTTACCAAAAAATGACCCCAATAAAGCCATAAATGACCCCAAAAATGCACAGAAATTACACAAAGAATGGCCCCAAAATGACCCCAAATGAGCCCAAAAATGATCCCAGAAATGAACAGGAATTACCCAAAAAATTACCCCAAATAAGCCATAAATGACCCCAAAAATGCAAAGAAATTACACAAAAAATGAGCCCAAAAATGCACAGAAATTACACAAAGAATGACCCCAAATAAGTCATAAATGACCCCAAAAATGCACAGAAATTACCCAAAAATGACCCCAAATGAGCCCAAAAATGACCCCAAAAATATACAGAAATTACCCAAAAAATGACCCCAAAATGACCCCAAATGAGCCCAAAAAATGCACAGAAATTACCCAAAAAATGACCCCAAAATGACCCCTAATAAGCCCAAAAATGACCTCAAAAATGCACAGAAATTACACAAAAAAGTGATCCCAAAATGACCCCAAATGAGCCCAAAAATGAGCCCAAACATGCACAGGAATTACCCAAAAAACGACCCCAAATGACCCCAAAAATGACCCCAAACGTGCACAGGAGTTATCTAAAAAATGGCCCCAAAATGACCCCAAATGAGCCCAAAAATGACCCCAGAAACAACCCTAAAAACGACCCCAAAAATGCAGAAAAATTACATCAAAATGGACCCAAAAACCACCACAAATTAGCCCAACAATGACCCCAAAAATGCACAGGAATTACATAAAAAATGGTCCCAAAATGACCCCAAATGAGCCCAAAAATGACCCCAAAAATGCACAGAAATTACCCCAAAAAATGACCCCAAAAATGCACAAAAATTACCCAAAAAATGAGCCCAAAATGACCCCAAATGAGCCCAAAAAATGACCCCAAAAATCACCCAAAAAGACCCAAAAATACCCCAAATAAACCAGAAATGACCCCAAAAATGACCCCAATCCCCTCCCAGTCCCTCCCAGTTTGTCCCAGTGGTCCCCAGTCCCTCCCAGTGACCTCCAATCCCCTCCCAGTGACCCCCAATCCCTTCCCAGTCCCTCCCAGTTTGTCCCAATCCCCTCCCAGTCCCTCCCAGTTTGTCCCAATCCCCTCCCAGTAACCCCCAAACCACCTCCCAGTCCCTCCCAGTGCCCCCCAGTCCTTCCCAGTGACCCCCAGATCCCAAACCAGTAACTCCCAGTCCCTCCCAGTTACCCCAAATCCCCCTTAAACCCCCTTTAACTCCCTCCCAGTCCAAACCAGTTTAACCAAACCACCTCCCAGTGACCCCCAGTCCCTCCCAGTGACCCCCAGACCCCAAACCAGTAATTCCCAGTGACTCCCAGTCCCTCCCAGTGCCCCCAAATCCCCCAGTGCCCTCCCAGTCCCTCCCAGTTAACCCAAATCCCCTAAATCCCCTTTAACTCCCTCCCAGTCCAAACCAGTCCCTCCCAATTTATTCCAATCCCCTCCCAGTCCTTCCCAGTGCCCCCCAACCCCCTCCCAGTATAAACCAGTAACCCCCAAACTCACTCCCAGTCCCTCCCAGTTACCCCAAATCCCCTAAACCCCTCTTATCTCCTCCCAGTCCCTCCCAGTGCCCCCCAATCCCCTCCCAGTCCCTCCCAGTGCCCCCCAAACCCCTCCCAGTCCCTCCCAGTTCATTCCAACCCCCTCCCAGTGGCTCCCAGTGGGTCCCAGTGCCCCCAGTCACCTCCTCCTGCTGGGCAAAGTCGGCCGCCAGGACCTTGGGGTTGGACTGGGGCCACTTCACCCCGTGCAGAGCCTCGCGCGTCGCCACCGCCTCCTCCACAGACCAGTACTGCAAAAACACCCTTACTGGGGGCACTGGTTTATACTGGGAGGGGATTGGGGGGCACTGGGAGGGACTGGGAGGGACTGGGAGGCACTGGGAGGTGGTTTGGTTGAACTGGGAGGCACTGGGAGGGAGTTAAAGGGGTTTAAAGGGGGATTTGGGGTAACTGGGAGGGACTGGGAGTTACTGGTTTGGGGTCTGGGGGTCACTGGGAGGGACTGGGAGGGGATTGGGGTAAACTGGGAGGGGATTGGGGGCACTGGGAGGGACTGGGAGGGATTCTGGGGGGGCCACCGCCTCCTCCACCGACCAGTACTGCAAAAACACCCTTACTGGGAGCACTGGTTTATACTGGGAGGGGCCACCGCCTCCTCCACCGACCAGTACTGCAAAAACACTCCTTACTGGGAGCACTGGTTTATACTGGGAGGGGCCACCGCCTCCTCCACAGACCAGTACTGGGGACACTGGGGTTACTGGGGGCACTGGGAGGGGATTGGGGGGCACTGGGAGGAACTGGGAGGGGATTGGAGGGCACTGGGAGGGATTGGGGGCACTGGGAGGGGATTGGGGGCACTGGGAGGGACTGGGAGGGGATTGGGGGCACTGGGAGGGACTGGGAGGGGATTGGGGGCACTGGGAGGGACTGGGAGGGATTGGGGGCACTGGGAGGGACTGGGAGGGGATTGGGATAAACTGGGAGGGACTGGGAGGGGATTGGGGGCACTGGGAGGGACTGGGAGGGACTGGTTTGGACTGGGAGGAGTTAAAGGGAGTTCAGGGAGATTTGGGGTAACTGGGAGGGACTGGGAGTTACTGGGAGGGCACTGGGAGGGACTGGAGAGAGGATTGGGGGCACTGGGAGGACTGGGAGGAACTGGGAGGAAGTCAAAGGGGGTTTAAGGGGATTTGGGGGCACTGGGAGGGGACTGGGAGGGACTGGGAGGGATTGGGGCACTGGGAAGGACTGGGAGGGGATTGGGGCACTGGAAGGACTGGGAGGGTTTGGGATAAACTGGGAGGGACTGGGAGGGATTGTGGGGCACTGGGAAGGACTGGGAGGATTGGGGGCACTGGGAAGGACTGGGAGGGATTGGGATAAACTGGTTTGGACTGGGAGGGGAGTTAAAGGGGGTTTAAGGGGGATTTGGGGTAACTGGGAGGGACTGGGAGGGACTGGGAGGGGATTGGGGGGCACTGGGAGGGACTGGGAGAGATTCTGGGGGAGCCACCGCCTCCTCCACAGACCAGTACTGGGGAAATGGGGTTACTGGGGGCACTGGTTTATACTGGGAGGGGCCACCGCCTCCTCCACTGACCAGTACTGCAAAAACACCCTTACTGGGGGCACTGGGAGGGACTGGGAGGCACTGGGAGGGGACTGGAACAAACTGGGAGGGGACTGGAACAAACTGGGAGGGACTGGTTTGGACTGGGAGGGAGTTAAAGGGAGTTTAAGGGGGATTTGGGGTAACTGGGAGGGACTGGGAAGGACTGGGAGGGGATTGGGGGGCACTGGGAGGGACTGGGAGGGGATTGGGGGAGCCACCGCCTCCTACACCGACCAGCACTGGGGAAACTGGGGTTACTGGGGGCACTGGGAGGGGATTGGGGGGCACTGGGAGCGACTGGGAGGGACTGGGAGGTGGTTTGGTTGAACTGGGAGGCACTGGGAGGGAGTTAAAGGGGTTTAAAGGGGGATTTGGGGTAACTGGGAGGGACTGGGAGTTACTGGTTTGGGGTCTGGGAGGGACTGGGAGGCACTGGGAGTCACTGGGAGTCACGGGGGGGCACTGGGAGGGACTGGGAGGGATTGGGGCACTGGGAGGGACTGGGAGGGATTCTGGGGAGCCACCGCCTCCTCCACAGACCAGTACTGGGGAAACTGGGGTTACTGGGGGCACTGGGAGGGACTGGGAGGGACTGGGAGGGGACTGGGAGGGGATTGGGGGCACTGGGAGGCACTGGGAGGGACTGGGAGGG